TAGTATCCATATTCTTCTGAGGGAAGTAGATTACACTCTCCTCAAAGATGTCACCCCATCATTCTCCTTGACTTTCTTTGTATCATTCTTCCCCATTCCAACCTTAGAGGGATGTCATCTTGGAAAGATGGGGACATTATTCAGATACAGGGGCCACTTGATTCTAATATTGCCTTGAAGTGTCTCTTATCCACCCAATTGAGATTGAGATCACTTAGAGGAGGAGTAGTGGGGTCTAGACACATGAAAATCTTATCAAAGCCTGCCACATCACAAAACTCATCATCCCAGCATTGCTTCCAATGGGTGGTGGGAAGAATTGCTGGTGGTCAGACAAGGGGCTGGTGGACTGCAATTACACCATCAAGATTGTGGCCTGTAGAATCAATCTTAAGGGTGCTCATGCTAGAACAGAGCACAATGGGGTTGGGGTTGGGGTTCTGCATCTGCAGTATTACTAAAACTAAAACTACTACTAGTACTACTACTAGAAGTACTACTACTACTACTACTCCTTGTAGGAACACTGCTGCTCCCCCCACCACTAGTAGTACCTAATCCTGGAACAAGTGCTGTTCTGGGGGATGACTCAGTTAGCAACAAGCTGCTTTCCAGCAGAGCTCTAGAATACCACTAGTAGCAGTACACTAGTATTCCTCATTATAACTTCTGAGTTTTTGGGTCAACCAAAGGATATGATTTTGACCACAAAATAAAAACCAATCAATTTTTCCACAATGCTGGACAGTAGTACATTACTTGTTTGATTTGCAAGTTTCTATGGGAATCGTACTACTAGTAGTAAATGCAGCAAATTTTTAAATATGTATATACTATGTATTTACCCATTTGTTGTACTCCTACTAGGAGTATCAGGGGGCAGGAGGGGGCAGAAAATTACCAGAAAGTTACTTGTTGTTGTTTAAAGCTACTTTTAGGTACTAGTAGTAGTTTTAAAGTAGTTTTCTGATAGCTCCTAACAAAAAAATGAAAACCATGGTGGTTTCCTAGTAGAACCTCCCAAGTTCTGATGGTGACATCTGGTTCCCATACACTCTCTATTACTGTAGTAGCGGATGAGCACACTGTGAGTGTCAATTTTTTATTCCACATGGAAATTGTTGCTGCTTTTTAACTTAGTCAGACTATCCAGTAGCTTGGAGTACTCGGTAACGCGTAGTTTCGTAAGGTTCCCCGTCTGCCCTTCGCTTCCAATACTCACACAAGTTTTGATTTTGTACCGTACCGTATGCGAACCCAAGGGTCATTCTAATTTTTTAAAAGTTCCAGTCTGGTCCATTTGCAGTGTTCGTCCTGTGAAATGTTGATAGGCTCCTTAGTGTACGTGAATACGTGGTTTACAATAAAGAGTGAGCTTATTCACTATCTACTCGTGATTTAGGCTCACACCGCCCCGCACTTGCAGAATCTAGAGACTYGAATGAGTCAAATCTACTATTATATAGGAGATCTTGAAGAGGATCTAGATTGCAAGTGGAGCAACATGATATCGTGTATGGTCCCTGAATATGCAARTTTTGGTCTARTACTATGTTTGCGTTGAATTTTTGCATAGTAGGCCTGATATCTGTTGTATCCTCAATAATTGGGGGTGATGTGGTCTGTGAAAGATGAAAGTATGTATAGTCTGGTTGAAYGCGTCCCATGAAGATATCGGTATGTTCAAGGAACTTTGTTCGACCTGTCGGTTTGCTCAGCGAATCGCTGTAGTTCGCATCAGACCTTGTTTCCACAAAGTTTATATATTCATCATCTGTCCATTGGAGGATGACRAAGTGTTTCATTTCAACATGTCTTGTTCTTCGGGTTGGTTGATGTGCATTTGCTATTCGGACAGCTCCATGGTTGTCAGCTATAATTGGTGTGGGTTTTGTTTGAGCTAAGTGCAATTCCTCCATGATCCAACGAAGATATAGAGCYGCTTTCCCAGCATCTGCCATGTTCGTGAATTCGGCCTCTGTTGAGCTTTGTGCTATAGTTGGCTGTAGTCTTGTTCTGTAATACACCSCAGCTCCAGCTAGCATCATTATAACTCCTCCCATGGATCTTCTTTGAAGTCGGTCTGAAGCCCATGTTGTATCACAGGCTCCATGTAGTTGAAGAGGGTCCATCGATTGGTAGAAGCGTGTGAGTGTTGCTGGGTTTGAATATGGGGTAGGGAGGGGGGTATCAGGGAGATCTGTCCGTGGTGAGGGTCTCCAGTAGGTGAGTCCCTCATGTTTGGTGGCTAATAAATACATGAAGAGGGCCTTAACAGCCTCATAGTGTATTTTAGCTGGTGAGTGGGAGTGTTGACTGAGGGTGATAACTGCGATTGAAATATCTATTCTGCATATAGTGAKTGCATATATAAGTTCCCCTATACACTGTCGGTAGTTGAAACCTTGAGATTGCTGTAGTTTACGAGCTTCATAGGGATCATCGGGGCCCTCCGACAGTTGTATCTGTTTTTGGTATGCGGGATCCTCCTTCATCGGTGTGGGTCTTTTGCGTGTGCTCTTTCGTGCAGTATTCAGTGTCCAGCCGTGGTGATTAGCAATCTTTTCAATGTAAGAGCTGCAATGGAGATGGTTGTAGTGTTTAGTCTGCTCTACATGAATTCCATTGAATTTACGGATGGTACCGAGTACATTCAATGGGTTAGTCATCCGATCCTGTATGAGTCCTCTAATACTGTCACATACAGTTGCCTCTGCATTAGCAATGAGGAAGTCGTCGACTTGTCTTAGGATCAGTGTAAGGCCTGTATCATCATGTTTGTAGTATAAGCAAGGCTCATGGGTAGTTGGTTTAAAGCCCAAGTCTTTGATGAGGATGCCAGATATATATTTATCCCACAGACGCGGCGATTCAGGGTGTCCCTGAAGGGCTTTTTGTRTTGGAATAACSTGGCCTATATCAATGGGGTCACGGTGGAGGCATTCTGTCCACCATTGTTGAAAAGGCTCATCAACTTTCATGTAAAAAGGGGATTGTGGAGCTGGGGCCTCTGCAAATGCATTGCCCACATCGTATCCGATACAAATGAGGTTMAGCGCTGCAGCAAGGGCCCACGTGAGTCTGTGTATGGGYTGTTCTACACAGGCAGCGTAGGTTTCTGCGAGAGTGACTGCTTTGCCGTATCGKCGGCCTCCATTACATGTGCCACGGGATTTAGGTTCGTAGACTCCAGTTAGTGGGTTCTCCTTTTCAATATATGTCCAGACCCATGGCAATACTGTCATATCCTCAGTTCGTGCGACTGGGTTTCCAAACATTCCTACTTTGTGGTATCTGTTTAGCTGTTTCCATTCTGATTTAAGGAAAKCGTCCCATTGGGGCGTAGCTTTGAGATTCCGCCKTGTCAGCTTAGATATGTGAATCTGTTCCCGGACTGTCTCAGGGGCATCGAAAGGAAGGGGCCATTCATTTTTGTTAGGCCATAGGTCTTGGTTGTGGTTAAGACTATGGAGGTGRTGAGCTATCACAYTAAGCTGGTCAGCCTGGAGAGTGGGGATGCCTTCACCATTAACTGCAAAKCCAGTGAGCGTACCAAACGTGAACTTAACGGAGCTTTGATGGCTGTTTTTAGCTTGTTGTATGGCTTCAATGAGGTCCTGCCGGTTGGAAATGTTATTGCCATTGGCWGTAGTGATAATCGTGCCTCTTAACCGGCGTTTCCATCCTTTAATTCTTGAATGTGCTATRGTACCGACTTGAATTGCTTGGAGTTCAAGAGCATCCTTGATATCTGGATGGCTCCCAACAACAAAGCCCATGGTAGGATGAATTGTATTTGTATTCTTCAGGGGRAGGGTGTATGAAATCTCTTTGATATACAGGTTAGTGGAGATATCAAGTGTTTCCAGTTCCGGGATAAGAGCTGTGATATTAGGCCGTTCAAATTTAGTTCGATGTATCTGGGCTCTAACTTTAGCTGCGGCTGCCGTTGTATACGAGTATGGAGCATCTGAGATGATTTCCTGGATGATATCGTGGGGATCTCTCKGTTGGGAGTCTTTTATATTCAGTTTGACAGGATCTGGTGCCTTGTTTGTTGTATGTTCCGTGTGGGGTCCTTCAGTGAATGTTTCCAAAAGGTGAGCTGCGGCTGGTGATCTGTTGGACGGATCATCYCCATATTGTAGTTCATCCTTTGAATCATGGCGGGCTGTTTTATCAGTTCCAGTGTGTATATCAAARTACTTGATATTATCAGTAGTGGGGCCGTATCCCAAGAATATGCCATCATATGTCCATGGATTAGTTGTWGTAGGTCTGGTGCCTGGGCGTTTAGCGGTGATCTTTGAGCCAAAGGTGATGAGGTTGTCTACCAGTGGTACACGCCCAGTGTACAGYTGGAATGGTGTCATTCCAATAGCGCTGTGATATGTTCGATTGTARAGCCAAGTAGCATGGAGGAGTGCATCTGTCCAGTATTCAGTACCAAGGCCAGCAGCATAGAGTAAGCATCGGATCCGTTCTTTCAATGTGCGATGTGGCCTTTCAGCTAGGCCATTCTGTGAAGAAGCATCTGCTGCTGTCACYCTGGAGGTGTAACCATGGGTGTCGATGGTGTGCTTGAAAGYGGTGGAGTTYGCCAGTTCACCGCCACCGTCTGTCATTATTGTACAGTCTAGGTGTTCAGGTAGCAGGTCCAGGWYGTACGACTTGTTCGTGGTAKTGATGTTGTAGTTATGGTTCGTGAGAGTATCYGAGAGAGCTCTTGATCTGGCYAGATAGCCATCATCAGTGGTAGTTATAACTGCTTTACGGGGGTCACTAGTCTTGATTCCATGTTTTGTAAGGAATTTGTCAATGATRGTTAGAGGTGGTTCCTTGTTCTTGACTGGGAAGGTCCATAGAGCTCGTGTTGCTGCATCAATGATGGTGAGGAAGCCAATGTGGCCATGTCGGCTCTTTTTGAGAGTGGGTTGTGCTTTTGCATTATTACGGAGGACTCCCTGAAGATTAGGGGGTCCACTGACAAATGAAAGGTCCATATGAAGTGACTGCATGGGGATGAACTTTTCAGTAGGTCTTTTAGGTTTTCCATGGTATTTWGTCATTTTACTCTTTTYGCAAAATGGGCAYCGAAAGAAYGGYGTGTTTAAGGGGATAGGGGGCATCCCTTCTACGACTTTTTGCGTCTTCACTAAGGTGGCGGGGGAGACATGGCCAAAACGTTGGTGCCATAGCTCCAAGTTCTTCATGGCYGCGGATAGGCCCGAGGGCCATGTTTTGCTTCGTGGAGGCGGCTCGGTGTTTTGTTTGGTACGACTAATTTTACTCACCTGTGTACAATATCGTTGTACTTCCCGCTCRATCTGGTCAGCCTCACAAYGGTTGCGGATAAGGATTTTGTTTGTAGAGTACCAAAGACCATTGTTCCGGACTGTTTGGATAGATTCAACAGTATCATTGTGCTGGTTTATGAATCGTATGATTCCTTTGTTGTTTAGCTGTCCCTCCTGTTGGAATGCGTAGAAGTTACGTGATCTCTGGTAGTGATCAGGTGAAATTACTGTTCCGGTAGACTGTGGAGTGTAGAGAGCGTGCCAACGCATAATGTGGCCCTGSTCTGATATAATGTTTAAATAGCCTTCACCGTGTGCCTTAAATGATTGCTCAAGTGTGTCGTCCGCTGAGAAGACTCCAACCGGTTCCGGGATTGAGAAAGGCTTATAATNGTACTCGTACCGGTACTGAAAAGGGACTTTTTTCAATTGGATCGATGACTAAAAGGGTTCACTCCTCTCTCGACTGCGTAGAACAGCACCCTTCCCTCCTACCATCACTGGCAAGGAATTCCCCGAATAATAAATATCATCACAGCCATGGCAGACGTAGACGAACGCGTTGCTGCCAAGGCCGCACTGGAGGCCGCMGAAGAAGAGCTCCAATCCCTGTGCGCCTCCCACGCCGGGACTTTCGTGAGCGTGGAACGACGCGGTCGGGCCCTCGAGGTATCTCTCGAAGAACTATTGGCTACAGTGCAGTCGGTGAAATTGGACGTCGCRTCGACACAGGAAGCCCTCGAACAGGAAGAAGAAGATGGTCCCGGCCGAGCGCGGGAGAATTCTCTTGCGGCACTTTCTGAAAAACATCGCGTGAGGCGACGGACCCTGCTGCAGCACTCGAGCTTGCTGGAACTCCTGGAATTGCCGTCCCTGATGGACGCYTGCGTGAGATCGAATTTATACGAAGAGGCCCTGAGCATTGCCGCSTTTTCCAATACGCTGGAACGGCGCCACACCGAACAGAACCAGGTCGTTCTCAAGGTCATAGCACAGGTGCGGTCGAGACAGGTGGATCTGCGACGGTACCTCTTGCATTCCCTAAAAAACCAGGTTACCATGCCGGAGTGTTTGGAAATCGTTACGGCGCTGCGCCGATTGAATTCGATCGACCTCGAGCGGCTGCGATCGAGCGAAAAATCGAGCGTCGAACGAGTCTTTGCCGCTATGGAATTGTCCCTCCAGGTAGACTTTCTGGAGGCCCGGGACGTTTGGCTGGATCAACCCACAACCGCGACCACCAACTACGCAACGAGCACTCCTCGTGGTTCGAATAGCTCCAAAATCGTGCTTTCGCATTCGACATCGGAGCAATTGCTAGATACGATCGAGCGATATCGGACGAGGTGAGGGTTGCCATGTTTGAATATGACCGTGATTGTGAATGTACCTAGGAATATTCAAATCAATGTTCCCCTCTTGGATATTTTGCGTACAACGTCTAACTCGCATGGGCGTCAATGTCTTMCTACATTTCTCTTACACAACAAAACTTTTGCCTCAAAAACGTTGGCGCGGTTGCTGATTGCAGGATGTTTGAAATCGCAACCCAGTTCAATGCTATTTTTCGCGCCCAACAAAGTTCCCACACAACTAATGGCGGTTCATCTTCCGCAAGYATCGCCGATTCCAACATCGACAWCGACGGGCAGGTTTCGGTATCGTTGCTGAGTATGTGGGTCACGCGCCGGATCCATTCCTTCCTAAAGACTCTTTCCTCCCAGCTCCGCCTCATGGACGAATCGGGCTCGCTCCGAGATGCCCTCGATGCTTGTATATTTTTCACTGGTAGCATGGGACGATTGGGTGCCGACTTCACCGCACAACTTCCACCATTGTTTGAACAACAGCTGGTGATCATTGTCGTCAACAAYTGGAAGGAGGGAACCAACCAGCTGGCCGAAACTCTTAAAATTTGCCGCGAGGCCGGAGTGGCATCGCCCCTTTTTTCTTCTACGATAGTGCCAACTGGTCCATCATCCTCTGCTGGCAACACCTATGCCGAAAACGACGAAGAAGGCTATTCGTCTTCGACGTCGTCTATCATGATGCCACCACCTCGAAACCTGATGGCACTCCCACCATTGGGACGCCTCGTGAATGCATGCCTGAACGGCCTCAACGAACTGCGTCGATGTCTCTTGCCGGGCGTCTTCTCCCAGCTGAGGGAAGCGATCGAGAAAGAATTCCTGCTCGAAACGAAAAACATTCTTCACGCACACGAGCGCGCGGTAATGACGCCGGGGCTGAGGGGAGACGCTGCTAAGCTCCGGGAAAACGCAAAGGACATGAAGAAGGCTGCCAAAACCATTATCTTCCCGTACGTCCGGGGTGCCCTCGAGCTGTCKCTGGGAAACGAATCGGGGGCAAAAGTGCACTTTGACAAGGTGCGAAAGGCCGTTGCTCCTCCTGCACCGCCACCACCCAAACCAACCGTGGAAGAAGAGAACACGCAAGAAAAAACAGAAACGGACATACCAGAGCCCACAGCTCCCACAGYTCCTACTACTAGCACTGGTAATGCAGCCCTAGCACCATCTGCACAAACCGAGACGCCCAAAGAATCATAACAATTTTTAAACGATGTATTCACCCTACTGCTATCCGATGAAATATTCTATGAAGTTCTGTGCAATTTTTGCTTTTTGTTTTTCAGATTGGTCCTAATTTTTAAAATCGATGAAATCCCACAAAAATTCTTTCACAAAATCGGACAAGATAATAGGTACGTACTCTCATAGGATACATAAGTATGAACTACGATACCAAATACCAAATCTTTCGACGAAAAAAGGGCAACACAAAAAAGTCGTCCACTATCATAGTTTTATTATGTACATAGGATTGGTACGTGTTTTTCTAGCCGTTACAAAATGCCCGTCACGCTCGATTCTTTTTCAAGTCCGTCGTGATTTCCAAACTGACAAAGCGCCCGTCTTACCAGCAGCAACACAATAGGTTTGAAAGATGGAAAAAATACGAATTTGAAACACAGATCAAATCGATTCATTCCAAAGACCCCAATATAGGTTTGCTACTTCGTCCGAYAGAAGTTGCATACAGGTTGTTGAAGGCAAGCAGTTTTCCCGCTGCTAGATAAAATAGAAACATAGAATTGCAAAACCTAAGCGCCATGAACCGWAGACGAGGAGAAGGAGAGCCTCGCGAACCGGAAGGCGACGAAAATCCTTCGGCYTACAAGCTACACACAGACGGAAACTTTGACGATGCGCCGGCGACAATGAAAGACGTCATTGACGAGGAACGAGTCCCCCTTTCACCCTCTCATGCAATTGTCCGGCATCCCGAAATCTTTCGAGACGAGCCCGAGGGAGGAGACGCCACTGATGACTCCTCGTACGAGGAAAGAGAAATGTCACTACAGGAATTGTTGTACAGTTCCTCCTCCTTTTACGCAATCGTTGTTCCCGGTAAGTAGAGGCCRTAYGGTTTGAGTATAAAATTCAATGAATAAGAAAGGGCAACCCATCAGCGACTAACTCGCCTATGATTTATGCCTGCTCTTAGTTTCCATCACCATGGTGCTTTCAGCGCTTGCCGTGGTTTTCATTAATAGCGAAAGCATAATGGCGCAGGGTGCCGCTAGTATGGCAGCAACCTACCAGTATTTTGATACCAGTGGAGCCTCGGCTCTTGATGCGATACTTCTGAGTTTGCTGAATGGTCTCATAATGGTGACATWTATTGGTGGATTTACCTTCGTAATTGTGCTCTTGTACAAGTTCAATTGCATGTGGCTGTTGATTGGATACATGATGTTCGCTTCGACGAGTCTATTGGGATTTTTAGGAGGACATMTTTGGTTGGTTGCTATTCAACTCTACGATTTGCCCGTTGACAAGTTCACTTACATTATGGTACTTTGGAATTTCGCRGCTGTTGGAATTTTAGCTATTTTCTATGGCAAAGGCGTGCCCAAGTATATYTCACAGGCCTATCTGGTTTTGACTTCGGTCATCCTYGCATGGCATTTGAGCTTCTTCGATGACGTCATGGCATGGTCTTTGTTGTTCATGTTGGCCTTGTACGATCTTTGCGCAGTTCTTACACCTTGTGGTCCACTCAAAGCGTTAGTCAATTTGATGTCCAAGGACGATGCCCCCGAGATGCCGGGACTATTGTATGAGGCTGAATTGCCCCCTGAAGCACGTCGACCGGGTTCGTCTTCGACGAGTCAAAACTATGCTGGTGTGAACAGTAGTCGCAGCAATGCTAGCTCTGTTAGCAGTTCTCGATCCGTTTCCGAAAGCAGCAGAGCAACATCGGCCACAGGTGGAGAGCTTCGTGTTGAATTGCCACTAGCAGTTGCCCAGGTCTATAATTTGTCTGTGTTGGACGTTCCGGAGCAATCGAGAGGTCTATTCTCTACGTCTTCGTCGAGCAATGGTAGTGACCAGCCTCTCCTGGATGGGAGCATTGARAATCAAAACTTCGAAATCCCTGAGAACCCGTCGAAGAAGCAATTGAAAGCAGATATTATYGTCGAGCTACCAGTGAACGGAGGGCGCATTGAACGAATCAGAAGAAAAGGCAAGACTGTATTTATGGAACGAAATAGACACGGAGACCCCAAACGCATTTTGTGGGTCGACCGCAAGGGACGTGTYTTTGCCGAGTCGAGTAGCTACGGCGAAGGTGATGAYGACGAGGAGGAAGATTTAGGAAGAAACAGCATCCGACTAGGATTGGGAGATTTCATCTTTTACAGTGTTTTGGTTGCCAAGGCGGCGGAGTATAGCTTTACGACGTTCATGGTGTGCATGCTTGTAATTTTGGCCGGACTGGGTGGAACACTTATTTTGTTGAGTGTATTTCATCATGCTCTACCTGCCCTTCCAATTTCCATTTGCCTTGGTATTTTCTTTTACATCGTTACGCGCTTTCTCATTGAGCCATGGATCGAAGGTATTATGATCAAACCATACTATGTCTAAATGATATCAATCAATGGRAAAATGAGACTGGTCGATCAGTCTGTCTTTCGATTGATTGATTCGTGGCTCCCGAAAGGTTAAAACTATCTATGTGTGATCGAATGTCGAAGATCACAACAAATTCGAATAAGCAAGCAAAATTATACTGAATGTWTGCACTGGCTCGAACTGTACTTACTACGTGTAGAAACTCTTAAAGACTTTTACCAACGATCATTCATGATTTTTAGTTTATTGGTCGTTTGCTATTGAAGTACGTAATTGAATTCTATCTGGGCAGTTAATAGTTCTTGGTGTAACTCTCGACTTGTTCAAACCGATCGTATGACATTTTCTTCCGCAGTTCTGTAAATCCTACTATCCACTTGAAATGGGAATATGCTCGGTACTCTACGCCTCTCTTGCCAGTTGCTTTTGAAGTACTTCTACTGCATTAAACGACCTTTCTGTTTAACCCACGGTTTGATTTCAAAAACAAAACGTTATAAAAAAAGAGCTCTGTTAATTTTTAAATGGGTGTTCATATGTAAACAACCTNTAAATAGCCTTCACCGTGTGCCTTAAATGATTGCTCAAGTGTGTCGTCCGCTGAGAAGACTCCAACCGGTTCCGGGATTGAGAAAGGCTTATAATCGTATAGCATTTCCCGTTGGTTGGTGGCGGAGATATTGGCTCCCGTATCGGTTTGTAAGGATCGGTGTGTCGTGTTCCCATGTGTATCAGGTGGGGCTGAGACTGTGGAGATAGTTTTAACGGAGCACGGCGAGCCGGTTGTGTCGATCCTTATATGTTGACGGGTGTTTTTCCTATGTGTTGAGTGTGTCATTYGGAGTGCTGGTTTTTGTGTATTGTATTCAGATGCCAAGGAGTCGTTATGTATGTCGAATGGCGTTAGGTCAGATCCACGGGTGTAGTACTCGGGTAGCGGGAGTGGCCCAGGGGAAGGGGTTAAGTTGCATAGATGGCATTGGTTGTCCGTTAGTGCTGCYGCAAGAGTATACTTATGGGCGCGATGGTGTAGTGATGTGGGYAGTAGAGATCTACGTATCCCTGTACTGTGGCTGTTTTGTATCGTGGACGCCGGTGGATCCAGAGTAGTAGAATCACGTATGTTTTGTACTGGAGGGTCGCGGAGTACRGTTTTTCTTTGTACCCCAGTACTGCTATTAGTGTTGCTGTGCAATAGCTGCATAATATCAGTACTCCGTGGTGTTGACCATGGTGAGCATTCATTCGTAGATTGTGGTGGTTCTGGTGGCTTATCATGTAGTTGTTGTGGTAAGTGGTGGGAGAAGATGTCGTTGTCGTGTGGATGCGTTCGTGAGGGAGGAAAGCCCCTGGAATCCAGTTTCAAAATGGTGTGTTGGTGAGGCCGTGCCTCGCTAGAGACACGGCGTGRATCCTAGTYCTCCTCCGGTTYCAGAGGRATAACATTAGTGAATAGATGTGCCAGTTCTTCTCGTTCTGTTTCATGTTCGGTCTCAGTGATAAGACGACCATTGAGGTTTTGTTCAAAATGGTTGACAACGTTCTTTGTGTTCATGTTATTGTGTTTGGTTGCATTTTGTCGAAATTCATTCRGTTTGCTCGTTGCGTATTGGCGAGCAAAATGTAGTTGTGCTCCGAAGCGGCAAATTTGATCCCCTATGTTGTGACCATACAGGTGGCAGCATTCGCATTGTACTTTGTTTTTGTATTCAAAGCGTTTTCTGCTGTTKTCCAGTTTCGAAATGCTGGGTGTTGTTGGTGATATGTGTCTATGGATGTCGGGAGTATCAATGATGAAATTGACCATTGTCGTCAACTGAAGGTGTGCTGGTACCGGTTGGTTCCGAGCATCTGGAGTGATGYGTCTATGGTTATCCAGTTGGACTAGGAGGCAACAGCCCGCTGCGTAATTGTAGTGGGTCATTGTTTGATAGATGAGTTCGTGGCATTGGTCAAGTTCTGTGTAAGTATGTTTGTGTCCAAGTTGGCACGATCGCACATGATCCAGGAGTTTGCCAACGTATGTGCCAGGGTCATCCTCCGTGGTCCATGGTGGGCCCCATCYGTTTTGGATTGGTTTAAGAAAATCTAATGAGTGTCTTGCCAAGGCGTATAGTGCTTCATAGCCGTGATTGTGGATGGAATATGGTGCAATCAGGCCCCGTAGAAGAGAGTTCGTTGTGGCAGGGAATAGGCGTGTAAGGCGGCGGTAGATATACATGCTGATTTTGCGGATGTTATCTTCCGTCTCTTTGTGTGTGGGCGGGAGGCATGATTCCCATTGAGGGAGTTGATCCAGCGAGGATATAGGGAGGCTTTCAAACGAGAGCATAGTGTGAAATTCATTATAGAGGTCCGAAAATTCCTGAGAGGTGAGATAGCGATTGGTTGAAGGGATCAGGTTGTGGTCAAAGTCTTTGAAGTCCATTGCATGTARMGCTTTRCTAATCCTRTGGTTTTGATTGTGAATCATGTTTTCATCCATGATGTCTTGTTTACGGTCCGCATATCTGTTAAAACGGCGGTCGCTCTCTCCCCATTGGTGATCCGTTGCTTGGTCAGTCGCTCGCTGGTTCCAGCGGGATGTTTTGGGTGTCCCCGTTTGTGCGGTGGATTTGTTTGTAGCATGGGCTGGTTTGCCGTTCGTGCCTGCATTGCCATTTGTGCCGTCATTGTCTTTTATGGTGATGAACTGGGAGACCTGGTGTTGGATGTATTCCTTTACRGCTGGGGATTTTGTTATATATTGGTGAATGGTGGTATCCATGTTGGATCGAAATTCGTTGGTCTTAATAATTTCTGAGAGGGAATTCGAGATCTGTGTTGATATTGTATCGCTGACTGATTTATCCGTGGTCAGGTGATGGTGGACAGTATCCTCCAGTGTGGATGCAGCAATTGATCTTGTGATGGTGATGTTGTCGGTGGCTTCATGGGCTGTCCTGTCRAGGKCTTYGGTGATGGTACGGGCATGTGTTGACAACTTGCTAATATGGGTATTGCAGGCGTGTTGCAGTTTGGTTTTAGTTTGTGACAGGTCCTGTTGGAGCTGTTGCAGTGTGTCTGTGGCCTGGGTTGCAATCTCCCGCTTAGCTTGAGCAATGATAGTGTCCTTCAAGTTTTGGACAATGTTGTTTTCATCCTCGAGTTTGTTTTGGATAATGTTATGGATWGTTTGTTCAAATGTTTCCTCCATGAGCCGTGTCTGTTCCAATATTGCTCCTGTGATCTGTTTCTCRAGRTCATATCCCTTTTGGGTGAGGGAAGTAGTGCTCTGTTCTACCAGGGAGTTAATATGTGCGGTTAGKTCAGCTGTGATGGGGGATTTGGATGTGATGCTGCTGGCTTCATCACGAAGGTGYCGAAGGTGAACTGTTTCATTGATAAGTGATTCCAAGACTGTAGATGCTTTGGTGGTTCGCTGATCAAGTGCCCATGCTGTGTTTGCYGCAGCTTCAATGTCTTTCTCCAAGTTGTGGTCTGTGCTTGTTAAAGTGTTGAGTTGKTCCTGGAGGGTGCGTACAGCATCCTGTGCCGTTTGGAGGGCCTCTTTGGTAGCATYTAGTTCCTCCCTTGTGGTGGTTAGCTCCGTGGTCGTGGTGTGAAGAACAGTTTTRATGCGATCATCGATGGTTGCTATGGTGATAGCGGTAGTTGTAGGTGTTACTGAGGCAATACTGTCGGTGGGAGATTGGTCGTCCGCCGCTGGTGATTTATTAAGGCTGTCCTTGAGGGTTTGTAGTTCCTCCTCAATGTTCTTGGTGTATGTGGTATCCAGGGTTGCGATGCGGTYGGTCATAGTTGTTGAATTATCATCATGCTGGCTGGAAACAGAATGGGTGTTCACGCTGTCGGTGTGCGACCGTTCTCCAGGTTGCTGTTGGAGTGTGGTGGATAGCTGGCGTTCTTGGGCAAATCTCTGTTGAAGATCAACGGGGGCCATTTCAATAGGGGAAGCTGTGGAGTCCGKACTGTTGGTGCGTTTCCTACGTGGTATATCCTCCCCAAGTGGGTGTTGTTGTTGAAGGTCTTCACTGGATGGTGGGTCAGGGCTTGTTGCCAGGTGTGGTGGGGGCCTGGATTGGCGACACGTTGTAATTGCCTCAGGGGGTGTATCCTTGTCTGGTGGGAGTAGAGTATTCATGTGGGTGATAAACGCTATACTGTATTGGTGGCGTTYGAGAGGTGTTTTGGGAGTAGTGTTGCCGTTTGGTGCTTTGCGGAAGTGGTTGTGGTGGATCAGTTCCGTAAGGGTTTCCCCTAATGCAACGATCTTGTCTGAGTYGGAAAGTGTGGTGRTGTGTATCACACTGATCAGAGAAGTGTATTGGATCATTGTCGGTGGATATTTTGGTTTGAATGGAAACAGTGTTTTATCATAGATAGTKAGATCTGATTGTTTGGGGAAGGTGAGTTGGAGTGCTCGTAGTTCCCGTTGGATGTTTCCATCGTATCCAGATCTCCGTAGGTTYGGATTGGTTGGTGTCCTTTGTGGTGTTTTCACCAGGTATCGTCCGATGGGGGACTTGTTGCCTCTCCGGGCCCCTGTTGGGTTCTTKTTGGTGGATTTTCTTCGCGGCATATTGGTGGTGGTTGTGGTTGTTGTCGACTATGGTGTTATCCGTGTTCAAGTACCTGTTATTGTTGAGGCTTTTGGTGTTGTGAACAAGTRTCGAAGAGGGGGCTTCTGGTGTTGTTGACACCGGGGTTCTGAGTGAGTTGAGTACCGTAGGAAATTTACGTGATTTAGTACTGGTTCTCTTCCAGAATTGTCGAAAAATTCCGGCGAAAAAAAAAGACCCGAATCGCTGAGCTTGATTCTAATGAGGGAGCTCTGTGATCAGGGTTATGGAGTAGTAAATCAGACTACTCTAGGTGACTTTGTGGCATAGAGGTGTGATAATGAGCAGAGGTAAGTCTGTTGTTGCTCATAACCTGTGAAATGTTGATAGGCTCCTTAGTGTACGTGAATACGTGGTTTACAATAAAGAGTGAGCTTATTCACTATCTACTCGTGATTTAGGCTCACA